TAATCGGCTATAATTAAAGTTCTTGTTTGGGAATACACTACGATTTGAAATGAGACTTTTTTTTCACTTTTCAGTAAGGCAAAACTTGATTACCCCATTTACAACATTTTGGAAATTACTGTATCTATTTTGTTCAAATACGACTCACTCAAATATGGAAATATAGTTTATATATCTTACTCTTGTCGATGCAGTAACCCAGAATTGGAGGGTGGCGGTTTCCTGAGTTCTAATAACCTCGTGCATTTCTGTCGAGGGATTCAGAGCTCTTTTGTGAGTTCCTTCCTCTTGACCATCTTCTACCACTCCCATATAGAATGTGAAACCAGTGAGAACACCGTTGCTGTACTTTGGTGGCAGCCATGATACCAATATTTTGTTGGGACCACTCAACACTGCTTTGATTTGAGCGGGTGCCGAAGGCACTAAAAAAATCAATGATTATTATCAGAAATTAGACGTTACATACTTGGAAGAGGTCATCATATAAAAGTGAATGTAAATATCCACAAGTTTAAAAAATATAACATTGGCAAAAACACATGAAAAGAAATTTGCAAATGATAGTCATGCAATTGTCATGTTAATTAGAGATTAAACGACTTACCTAAGGAAGTTCAATTCTCAATTATACGAGAGCCACGTCCGAAGAGATCACAAAGGTAGTTGTTCGCTTCAGCCCGATCCTGTGCGTAATGTTTAAAGTCGTGCAAAAACGTATCAGTACCACCCAGTGATTTGAAAGGGTTATATTTTTAGGAGTGATTAATTTTTTGGGAAAGAAAGTTTTTGGCTTTCTACTACTCCATCTGATACAAAAAAAATGGATGAGAGAATCTTCCAAAGATTACCAAATTCTAACAAACTTTTTCTTTCTATTATTGTTGATGATATAATAATTTTTCGACCATTATATATAGAACACAAAGTATCTGGGTTTGAAAACTGTGATCTGTTCGTCTTTAACTTTAACTCTAACTGTTTATAACTGGCAAAATGGTAAATTTGAATGGTTCACCTCAAGCAATTCTTTACCCTCAACTGAATTATTTTTGGGTCTGTATATTCAAATTGTCCTTCTTGCAGCAGAGGGAAAGCAGAGGGTTTCATAACATGTAGGTATTCTGATACTGTATGTTGTGATTTTCATCCAAATACATGCGTACATAAATAGTCTTCAACAGGGACTTTCGAACTTTGGATAATTGATAACGGTCATCTTATTGAAGCTAAATCTGTCGAATTAGTTGTTATTTATTCAGTCTGTTTTGCCATATCACCACGGATGAATATAGCGTTCAACAACACGTGCAAATGATAAAATTGTTTTATCAAAACGTGTGTTCTGTTCGGGCAACGTATCGTGCGCTTCGCCCATTTCACGGTCGCCATAATCGTCCCACCGAGAGGACTATTCGGCAAAACGTTATATCTGCCAAAGCATCACTGCTGTGTGCAGCAGAATCTGATACAGTCGATTTCGCATCGCTCACAAAATCTCGGCCATTTACAGACCACGACTGGGAAATTTGCGTCGTGCACCCGTACAAAATTCAACTGACCCAGGAACTGAAGGCGAACGACCATAAACAACGACGTGTATTCGCTGAATGGGCTCTGGAGCAGTTGGCAACTGACCCTAATTTTCATTGAAAAATCATCTTCAGCGATGAGGCCCATTTTTGGATGAACGGTTATGTGAACAAATAAAATTGTCGAATTTGAGATGATAACAATCGACATGAGATCTAAGAGAGTCCAATGCATCCCAAAAAAGTCACTGTTTGGTGTGAATTTTGGGCTGGCGGTGTCGTCGGTCCATATTTCTTTGAGAACGACGTTGGCCAGGCTATCACTATCAACGGCGAGCACTATAGGTCAATGATTACCAAATTCTTTCGGCCTAAATGTAATGATCTGGACACCAACGACATGTGGTTTTAGCAGGACAGCGCTACGTGACACATAGCTCATGCTTCATTGGATATTCTGCATGAGCGATTGGGGGCATGGGCATCTCACGAGGAGGTGATGTGAACTGGCCACCGAGATCGTGCGATTCCACCCCGTTAGACTTTTTCTTGAGTCGCAGATTTATGCGAATAAGCCACGAAATTGGACGTTTCGGATGCACCCCAACCAGAGAGGGTTTGGCAGACATTTGAACGATGTTATATTCCATACATAATAGCATCAATAGGTCTTGATGCCATTATGAATGACAAATTTTGATATTATCTCACTCACACTTTGTTTCATTTGAACTCAAAGATATAGGAAGCGCTTAATTGAAAACACTTTGCATACTCGTTTACCAATTTTTACTTTAGGAGCCAGCGTGTCTTATCAGTTGTGTTCGGTGGTCTAGTTTTCACGATACGATAAGTTATATCAGTGTATATAGATCCACACGAGCATATAATCCTACTTTCCAGCGCTTAGAAATATGTAGAAAAGAATTGGTTTTCACTTCACAGACTGTGGCGTACTCACTTGAAAAAAGAAATTTCATTAAAAAAAATAGCATCAATTTTATCCACGTCACAACAAATGTGTCGATTCGAATTCTTGAGATTTGATTGAAANAGTAAGCTGAGAGGGCGCCAGCCAATAAATATACTTATATAAATTGACGAGGAATGGGGAATCAAACAAAATAAATGCAGATATGTAAATATATAATTGATCAATAAATATATGAGACATTGCAACGAGGTTTGCTACTCTTTCAAATATGGCATAAATATTATCGAATTAGTTAACAAGTAGCAAGAAACTAAATACATATAAAACACTGAGATTGGTTTCTAGTGAAGCCAACAAATAAGAATACATGACATGAACATCAAAATTTCATAATAATTATAACTCAATACTTTTAATCGATAGGGATTGTTTGAACGATCGATAATCATTCAGTAACAATAATAAATAAAACGCATAACTTCTTTATTTCAATAGTCTACTTGACATTGAAGGAGAAGACATGTAGTTACTCATGCTGTCTCAAGAAGTAGGTTTTCACGTACTTATATATCCGAAAGGGGTGAAATTCCACGAGTCTTCCTGAATTGGTAGACACGACCAGACAGAAATTATTTAAGAGAATTGTCCTCAACCATGCTAGTTAGTGGCGTATCTCTCTCAAGGTAGACAATCGGACAACGACATAGTTGAATCGATTGAATTTAACGTCAACGGGGTATTATCATCTGAATCTGATTATCCTTGATCTATTTCCTTTTTTTAGGCCTGAAACGAGACGAGAACATCGTTTCTGCAAATCTACCGCAAAAAACTAGAAATTGTAATATCTTCAATTATTCACCTTAGATTCTTTTTGGGCCTTTGAAGTTAAATAGGTACACGAATTGTGAAATTTATTTTATCAAACAGTACCGACTTTTTTCTCTGCTGGATGTTTATTCACAGAAGCCTTGCACCGTTGCTTCAATTGTCTTCTTTCCACCGGCACGCCATTTCAATTGAACTATCGAAATGTATATACAGGTTGTCCCAGTATGTCATAAATGAACCGTTACAAGACATTCCACAAGAATCAGAAGCAATCACACCACAGAAAATCATTCTGCGGTTTGCATCACAGCACATCTCAAGTGTTCCACATCTATAAATTATTTCTCAAACGAAATCGCCAGACGTGGTTTATGACGTCGTGAGTACTTCATTGGCTCTGAAGACGTCCCTGCAGTTGTAGGCAAATTTTGTAGGTACACCATCCCTGTAGTGACGATCAGTTCACGGCCCATGAGACCAAATACTTTATATTTCCTTTCTTCGAAATATAATAATATTTTGATAATATAACCCAAATCAACAATTTTTTCTGTACGCACATGAACTTATTTATTAAGGGTTTTTCGACAAAAAGTTATTCTTGATAAAAGTTTGTGCATTCCCTAAAAATGAATATGCACCAAGAAAATACAGTAATACACACGTAATATACGAGGAGCCTTCAAATATTTGATTTTGAGACAAGGGTAAAGTACCCTTATTTTGGATAATCTCGAAAAATGTTATTTAAAAAAGTTGTTCAGCATTGAAATTGACAATGAAAGTTAAAATTGGTTAACAATTGGAATTCTTGTTTTGATCTAGAATCTGCTTGTCTATTACAGTTGAAATTAATTCAATGTTTTTATTTCCATCAGTGTTCTTATAAATCATATTGGTTTCTTCGACGTTGTATTTTGAGTGAAGAGATATTATACTCTGCTTGAATATCAGAACGATTCACTTTGTTTACTATGATTACCTACAATTGATTTCTGTAAGAGTCATGCTAGTATTGCATTTCAGAAGAAAGAAGTTTTATCTTTCTCAATATTTCGAAGCTGAGAAAAAATGTTTATAGAGGGTCAATAATGAACAATAAACAAATAATTGTACATAAACACTATCAACATCATTAACAAACAAATATTTGAATGGAAAGAAGTACATTTTTTGGGACGTCAGTTCAATGCAAGAANAAAGACCTTTCAAATAATTTATCATTCGACCCCTTATGCCATTGAAAAAAATAGGTGGGGTAGTTGCTGACCGCAGGAGGATGAAGTTTCGGGAATTATTTCTATATCACAATCAGTCCTCCTAGAAATGAAAATTCACGTGTTCTTTGAAACTTTTGATCACACGTCCGTTTCTGACTTACAGGGGGTGTCGAGTTTTCGTTGGAAAGCCCTGTATTACGACTTCATGTCACGCCAGAGACAAATCCACCCATGTAACGATGAAACTACGCAAAGATATGCATACGTTTATTTTATTCAATCCCAGCTTCGAATCGAAAAGGGTACTTTTTTCAGGAAAGATTAGTTTTTTGAAAAAAAAACTTTCTGGCGTCCTACTTCTTTTTCTAGTGAGTCTGTACTCCAAATATTGAGGATGATAGTATTTCATGTAAGTAAAATTTTATAATGAAACTCATTCATACAGAGTGGCCATCGAAAAACTTGACATGGAGGTACTAATCTTGCAAATTCTAAAAAACGCTCAGACATGTCGACTTTTATTGGAAGGGGGACAGTTTTTTCCCCATTTACAGCGGCGACACTTCAACTCTGGAGCTTCAACCCTTGGAATTTTAATAGGGAACTGGGGGCGAGTCGCACATTGTTTGAAAGATCTTGGAATTCTCTAAACAACGGTGTACAGTTGAGGAACATCTCTGTCTTCCGAGCGCAATGTTAAGGTGAGGGAACAAAAAGAAGTTGCTTGAGGCTAGATCTGGTGAGTGAGGCGGATGGTCAAGCAATTCAAACCGTAATTCGTAGATTTTTGCTATGGCAACCGCTGAGGTGTGAGACAATCCGTTGTCTTATTGGAACAGGATTTTCTTTTTCTGCAAATGTATTGGCTGTTATTCCACAAGTTGTGCCTACAATTTGTCAAGTATTAGATGCGTGGTATGCTCCTGTAATGGTTTTTTCTTTTCGAAAATAATCGGCTGAAATAACTCCATGACTATTCCAAAAAACAGTCGCCATAATTTTTCCAGACAAAAAAACAGTTTTTTCTTCTTTTGGAGGTGATTGCTTTTATGCAGTCCACTGTTTGGACTGTATTTTTGTTTCGGACGCATAATAGTGTATCCAAGTAATCAATCGGCGCCAAAACTCGAATTTATTGCGCATTAACTGTGTAAAGTTTTTTTTGTTCAGAGTATAACGCGTACTATTTTATGAAATTCCCTGTAAACATGTCATATTCGATCACGATCAATTCATTTCGTACTGTCATAGTGATGCTCTTTACTGATAGGTGCCACCAGCCAACAATGGATTCGAACCTAATATTTATCATTTATAATGTTGTCTATACCTAAAACATTCCAAGTTCTACTTGTCTCTATTAGATGGCACACAACTTCAGTCTTCCGAATCCCAAACTCCATTTCTGTCTTCTGAAAATGTTTTTGAATATTGTGGATAGTTACCAAGGTGATGTAACATGATAAGCGGCTTTGCCTCTCTCTGCAAATTGCGTTTATGCATTATTTGTGATTGGATTTGTTATGCTGTATGGCTATTGCCTTTGCACTTTGTAGATCATTTAATAGTAGGTTTTATACCTATTTGGGGTAAGTTTTTTTTTCATAATTCTCTCGTAGGGTTTCTTTTGGAGAGTACAAACTCATCCACCTGAGAAAAGCTTCCGACTTCGGAATTTGTTATATAGTAAGTTTGATCGACTCCTATATCCGAATCACCTTAGTCAGCCGAATCCGAAGTATTGGTACTGATTGGCAGAATCAGAGTCCTACATTTCTTGAGAACTTCTCTACTCTACATTCAAGTAACAGTGGTACAATTTTTTAGATAAGAGCAGTGCTATAAGTTGTCTTCATCTCTTTAGGACATTACCAAGAACTCCAAGCACCATCATCCATCGTAGGAAATTAAGGCCAGATTTTCGATATTTCCTGATTCATTATTTTTTTCATTTGATTGCCGATAATTAGATGATATTATTATTTTCTCCTACGTAACTGATGATGAAAAATTATTGGCACTGATATATTTATTACGTGCAATACATTTGAAATAATCACTTTGAAGAATCAATCTTATTTTTTTACAGCGAGTCATTATAAGACTCACACTTGTTACGCTGAACATAGTACTATGCAAAGGCGAGTTATATAATATTAATGTTGATCATATCTAACTTGGATTCTCCTAAACATTTGATTATTTGAATGCTCGAATTATTAAATGACATTTTATTTTAACTTTGTTTTCGTTTTTCAACAGAGACGTTTGAAAAACGTGGAATATTTTATGTAATCAAATTCCGAAATAATACTGTTTTGAATCCGGTGGCGCCCGATTCAACATAACATTTTTTAGTTTCCTCTTACTCACGACCCAAAGAAGCTTCCTGACTGAGAGCTTCGTGCAAGTTTCCCTTTTGATGAAAAATAAAAGGTTACAACTGCACCAATAGGACATAACCTCTGCTTTCTCTTTCACTTCAATTCGGCTGTCGTGTAGTACCATTTGATGAACTTTGGCAATGTATCATTCGGTAGTTGCAGTTTTTAGACGTCCACGTTCACCGTCTCCCAAGCTCTTATGGCTTCGTTTGGACGAATATTGAATGACAGCACGATACTAGATTTTGTCCATTTTCATTAAAACACTCACATCAACTTACTCAAACGACTGTTTTTCAACAACTGCGCATCCAAAATGGCTGAAACTTTGGTGAGTAACTAACAACAGAGGAACAACAAAATTCACTAGCTTCTATTTACGCATACTGCTATCTTCACGTTGACGTCGGAAAATTTTTGAGGCCGTCCTCGTATCTGATTTAATCCCATAAAAATATTTGGAGTACAAACTGAATAGGAAAAAGTGATTTTCGTATAACTCAATGTTCATATGGAAGCAGTTGTATCGAAAGAATTTTTTCTTTCGTGTAATTCAATGTTCATATGAAAGTAGTTGTTTTGGCAGGGTTTTATCTTCCAGTTTGTATATGGAAGTAACTTTTATGTATGACCTACACATCTTTGTAAAGATTTTATTTCGAATTTCATTGTCTTCTTCCTTGCTTTGGGGGTTCCCCACAATCATGAAGATGGAGGAGTGGAAAGCCAAAAAATAAAGAAATTAATTAAAAATTCAGTTGTTTCAAATATTTCTTTTCAGATTATATTTGAAATTGGTCAAGGAAGTATATGATTCAATCTTTGTATGCAAACTGTTGTGAATGGTTATCCCATGAGAGTATATAACGAAGTCAAACATTGACTACAGAAATCAAATATATATTTACCATCTTCTTCAGTTTGGCAGAATACTGGGGCTGATCTCACTCCGTCACCACTAGATGTGTATGATAAAACTGTCAGGCTGTAATTCGTATACTTTCGCAAACCCGAAATCGTTGTGCGTAGTTGACTAACAATTTTAGTTTGTTGGTCTTCGTTGTCTGAAAAAAAAGATAGGTTAAAAACAATTTTTATGTTGAAATTAGTTTCACCGTCAACCCAATGAGGAACCTTCAGAAGTTGTTAAAAGATTTGTGCGAGTTAAGGTAAGATGACGGTCTCACCTTTCAACGTGCGATCCCAATCAAAACTGAGAATAAAGTCGGTCTGGGAAAAAGTCACTTATTTGAATGGTAAACGGCAAAGAAAATTAAATATGGTCAAGCGTGATCGTAATTTTCATATAAAGTTCTCTACTAGCTGTCCAACACGATAGTACTGCATGCAGGCCAAGATTTTACCATGGAGAAAAGAATTGTAGATTCAAATCAGATAATATCTGAATGAAGCCATTGATTGCAGTTTTGAAATTTTGTATGAGTATAGTTTTATGATTTAGTTTTGTTTTTGTTGTTTGAGCTATCGATGTTGTATCATTAAAATTCAATAACAACTACAATATTACAGAAAAATAATTGGAATATAAAGTTTTCAAGACATCTGAATTCTACATTGAGATATATACTCACCAAACCATTCACCAACTGAATGATAGGTAACTTTATAACCCTGAATGATTCCATTTTGGCCCTCCACTAGTGGGGGTTCCCATGATATGTGTAAACTTTGAGCATTGAGAACAGAGCATTGTACGTTCTCAGGTGGCAGTGTTGGAGAGTCCTCCAGAGTTCTGGAAGTCACAGGTTCACTTGCGGGACCAGAGCCTCTGCTGTTGTATGCCTGAAGAATATTAGAGAGATATTTCGATTGTTTAGTATTCATTAATTATTTTCCGCAAATTTTGGTAAATATCAGAGTCATTTGTAATACATAAAAATTATTTTTCTACCTACATATTTACGGAATATTTTTTACAATATTTTGGCATCATTTAAATATGTCTGAAGAAATGAACTTCAAACGTTCAAGCCAGTCTCGAATATACCTTCACAGTAGGTTGAATGGACTGACGCCTATCAGAATACTATGAAAATTTCCTGCATATGCTGTGAAGATTCCTGCACTGACGCCTGTCGGATATAATCCAAACGGGTATTTGATCCGTGTATGTGATATTATCTTTTATCTCACCAACGTTTCGACAAAATGTCATTTGTCATTATCTAGGTGTGCTGATACGTGTTCGGAAGTCGGTTGACCCTACTCGAACCGATCCTTACTATCCTGGTAAAATGGTGTTTGTTATGTGTTCGGTAGTAGAATGTCCTTAAACGCTCTATTGCCTACTATTTAACTGTTGTTGTTGCTTTTTTTCACGGGGAGAAGAGGTTAATCAAGAAGAAGAACTCAGGTAAAAAAGCAACAACAACAGTTAAATAGTAGGCAATAGAGCGTTTAGGGACATTCTACTACCGAACACGTAACAAACGTAGGATATTGATCTCTACCATTTTACAAAAATATGTATTGATATAGAAAAACATATTTTGGTATTACTATGTCTACATTTTTCAAATATGGGTATACCTCTAACGACACCTTAGGATACATCAGGAAAAATACATTCATTTGCTTGAATGACAAAACAGGTTAACCCTTGAATTTGTTATGTGTAGTTTCAAGTTTTTGATTGGCACCAGGAAATAAATAATGAGAAATTTCAGAATTAGCGGCAGTGGGAAACATCAGCGAAATATAAATTTCACTTCTTTTTAAACAAAGGGAGTTCATATCTTTAAAATTCATCAAGAAACGTTGTTAATTACATTCCAACATACTCCTGAGCAATTGATTCATATCCATTTTGAAGAATTACTCTCAGGTATCTTGAATTTAATTACTTCAATTCACTACTATTCCACTGGAATACGAAAGGAATTGGATTATTTTTGGGGATAATAATAATTTTTTGTACTTGTGTTAGTTGACAAATCCTACTTATGTTGTCCATTATTTTTACTTTCTTTCCCAATTTGAATGAGATTTTGATAAAACTGTCTCTGTATATTTAATAATATTCTTCTAACAACCAGTACATTCTACGCAACACAGATTACTCACTTGCACGATTATGGCATAGGTAGTAAATTTTGATAATCCCTGTAGCGTTGCTTCACCCCCATAATGTGGTCTTACTTCTACACTTTTGAATACGTAATTGTACGGTACAGTATTGGTATCATCACCAGAAAATTCATGATATCCTACATGATATCCGAGCAAATTTCCATTCCAGGTTTCTCTTGCAGGTGGTTCCCAAGTAACCACTAATTCGGTAGAACTTTTCGGTTCTGCACGTATATCCACAGGGGCTCCACCGGGAACTGTTAAATGAAAAATTGATTGAAGAATTATGTTGTAGTGTTTCGTGAGCCATCGGCTAATTATATTGCAGATTTTCTTAGTGACTTTTCTGGGAATTTATATCTTCTACATTCTAAACAAAAATTGTTATGAAAAACTTCTTACAGGTGTAGAAAGAGCGAATTTTCAGTTAATTCCTATAGGATGCTCATAGTTACGTATGATTTATTCAAAAAAATGATATCTCATCATCTCATATGGATATCGATTTAAAACATTCAGGAAACAAAATTATCAAAGTTGGTTACATTGAGTTCATGACAATCTATATGAAATTCAATGTAACAATTTTGTAGATCCGATTGAATCAATTTTGGAAGCAAAAACTATTTTCTATTGAAGATGTTTTGAAACTTTGAATTTAAGCATTGAATTGCTCATTCTATAATTCGTCAGATAGAAATAAGGTATAGAGACATGAATTTTCAAAAAAAAAGTAAAATTAACGAGAATATTTCATGGACTACAAAATTCGTTAAGTGAACGTGATAGTTTTAAAAGTGAAAGCTCAATATATCGATAGAAAATTTTAAGAATCTCAAGAAACGTGAAATGTGTCAGATTATGAAAACAATCAAAGTTTAATGAAAATCTATCTGGTTATGAATTCCAAGTCATCTGTTTCATTTCTGATTGATCTTGAATTTGTATAAGGAATTATGAGATGATTCTCGTCAACACAATTGGATTATGAATTTTTTCACTTTTTTTTTTCAGCATGAGTTTCTGAAAAATATTGTTAAGAACACTTCTGTCATCGAGGGTGATGTTATGTTGAGGTATATTAGGTTCATGTTAACATTATGTTCTGTAATATACCTACAATATATTCTCAACCAACAAAATATGCTGTTTACTAGTAGCTTGTATTTAATCATTATGGTTACTGAAAATAGAGCTAAGAATTTTTTAGATTTTTATCTCAACGTTTTGAGAAGAAAAACATGCAGTATATCTTGAATTTTTCTTCCTCAAATTCTCATTCAACTCAACTCTCATTTTCTCTCAATAAGTCGTCTGCTGCTGCGGTAAACATCATTAATGGTGTATGCCAGGGGGGACCGACCTGCGGCTCGCGAGCCACATGTGGCTCTTTGAAGGATTATTTGTGACTCTAGGTCAGTGGTCGCCAACCTGTCGATCGCGAGACAGTCAACGCATATACCACTGATGATATCTGTGGCAGTAGCAGACGAAACGTTTCAATCGACCTGGTCAGATTTTGTTCTCTCTCCGACCGTGAAAGCCTATCTTCTTGAATGTCAAAGTTGTTGATTGACTTTTGAATCATTAGATGTAGTATACTCGTGAATAAAAGAATGAAAGAAATATTGCAATTCTGCTACTTTGCATGTTTTTCTTCAAGACGGGTAGCTGAGTGAGTCGTTCGATTTCTCACAAGATAAATGAAATTTTCTCCAGACAGAAGAATGTATGCTGAATCTTCGGGTTCATGCCGCCGAAGCAAAAATATAAGTAGCCACAAAATTCCTAGCTTCAGGCACAAATATTGAAAACAGAATTATTGACAAACAGCATATTTTTCTTTGTGAATTTCCATTCTTGAATTTATGCAGTTACTTTTTGGGATGAACTAGAAGTTTTGCCCATTTTACATCTAATAAAGTTCCCAATTATTTTTTTTTCAGATTACGAAGGGTGGAAATTCCAAAAAGGTCAATGAGAAACTTTCATTTCCTCAACAAAAAATGACATATGTTTGATAATTTTTGCATAAAATTAGTAAATCTTGAGCAAGAAAAATACTTTACCGATGAAGACATTCAGTGAATTCCCAAATTATTTTTTCAATCAAACTAATCAATACAGTTCATTATATGATTTTCACTATAAACCGTGACACGAAGCTATTGCATAGCGAAACACGTGTCGCGATTCATGTAAAACCCTTTTATAGTGAAAATCATACAATAAACTGTATTGATTAGTTTGTTGATATGGATTATCAAGTATTGGCCAGTTGTATTCAATTTTTTCAATCCTTTGATTTCAAATTTACCAATAATTTCAAAATCATTATTACCTTCCTCTAGAGTACTGACTTGTACTGTTTGACTAGGATCACTCAATCCCAATCGGTTTTCGGCCAATATCCTCAAATGATAAACTTGTGCCGGATGTAAATTCTGAAGCGTAGTAGTAGTTTGTGAGCCTGGTACAGTCACCTTCATTGGCTGATTCAACCATGCTTCTATAAAAATAAATTGATTATTTATGAATAGAAGTGAAAGAAAATTTATATTGAAAATTGAATGATGAATGAAACATAATTCTTCAACTTCTCATTGCCATTCTGACGAATTTTTCAAGAAAAAAAAAACAACCAAATGACTCGTTCAGATTCACTCTTTAATAGACCAAAGGTAAACTTCTGGATGGATACAAGAAAAAATCGGTAAAATGTGAACAAGAATTAAATTCGAAGGCCCTGAAATTTTTCAACTATAAAAAAATAATGAAAAAGAGTGAAATATTGATTTGGTTGAAATATGGTCTCAATATGATAATCAACATCGGAGAACAAATGGAAAATTATACGAATGTTGATTGTTGAAGGTTAT